TAATTCATTCAGCTGGGGTATATATAAAGTGGAACTGCAAAGTTTTGGTCTGAGTTACTCTTTATTGTAACTCCACAAGCCCCTCTTTCACCCCTATTCTGAGATGCAGCTAAGATCAATTTGTTTTGGTGCTGTAGGACCCCGCCCCCCTCGCAGTGGTCATTGTTCACTCCACCCCATTCGGCCATTTTTGTAGTTTTCTTGCAGAGATACGATTTTCTGGGGGGTGTGGGTGGATTTTGAATGATATGTTCCCTTAGAGGTCCTTTATCCTGCATGTTTGTTTGTTTTTTCTCCAACACACCTGATTCGATGAACATGTTTCCTCTTCATGTTCTGCAGAAGCCTGTCAATCACCTGTTTATTCTAGGTGTGTTGGAGCAGAGAAACCTCTAAATCAYGCAGGACCGTAGCGCTCCAGGACCAGGATTGGACACCCCTGAGTTAGTACCTTATCAGATGTGGTATCAGTTATTTCTGAAGCATCACTGAGTGTGATTTAATGATATAAATCAGACTGTAGTTACAGAATAAATTGGTGGAATGACTGCAGGGATCCAGACTTTGCAGTGTTGGAGCGCCCTCTTGTGGTACGGTTTTGTAACAAACTTAATGTGTTTAGCTGGTGAAGATTCTCATGGCAAATCAAGAAAAAAAACTTTTATTCTGAAGTTGAAGACATTTCTCTTGCAATCTAGAGCCTGTAGTTGAGTTAATGTGCAGATTAATCTTACTCCCTCCTCACTGGAGAGTTAGGGTCTACGTTAGCTTCACTGACAGATGTTTTGGTCACATGAAGGCGTGGGCTGAAAATGACTCAGGTTTAATGCTCTATTGAAAGTTTTTGAAAGGAGTGAGATTAATTAGCTGTAGTTAATCTCTAATTCTGAGTCATTCTGCAGACACTGACAACATTAAACAGAACAAATAGTGTCTAGTCTCAGTTAGACACAGTGCCTGTTTCACTTTAATGTCTCTTCTGTTCTGTTCTGTTCTGTTCTGTTCTGTATGTGTTCCACTGGATCAGAACAGAGTTCTTCACATCAGATTTGTCACACCAGCTGAAGCCAAGACAAAAGTTTAGTTTTTTCTGCTTTAAATAATGGAGAAGAGGCGAAACATCACCACTGCTTTTGCAGCTGCTGGACAATTCTGACACTTGCCAACAACAAATCTAAGTGTGTTACTGATGTATGAGACAAACACAAAATAGTGCAAAATTGTGAAGTGGAAGGAAAAGATTTTTACAAATCAAAGTCTGCAACATGAGGCGTACATTTGTTTTCGTGCATCCCAATGGTGTCACTTTTGTAGAATTGTCATTCACTGCAAATCCAGCTGCAAGGTTTATTTTATTTTTATTTTTTTATTATTTTTATTTTTAGGTTCGTCTTTTCCAGCTTTGCACTTTGAGCAACTGAAGGTTTTGCTCACACATCTTTGTAAAATAGTTGGATTTGGATTCTGTTGTTGAGGATGTTTTGCCTTTTCATTTACAAAATTACCATGAAGCTTTAAAGACTAACACACCATCTGCAGTACATTTCACTTCATAAGGCTATTTTGGGCCAGCTGCCCTCAAATCTATCATATAATGTGACTGTCACAAAACACAAGACACATTAGTCAGTACAGACTAAAATGTCTATAATCTCTGTCATTTTATACAAAAAAAATGGCAACAAATATGGCCACAAGTGGTTCTGAAAGTCCAAAGATTTGGAAAGGGCTTCAAAAATAAACAAAGCAAATAAAAGTTTACATTTTATTTTAAAAAAAAAGATTTCATAAATGTAGTTATAGAGTGCAGCGGTGTAATACACCAAGAAGTCATGTTGCTGATGAAACATCTGCTGCCTCCACTGCAGGAAGGAGTAAAAGCTGTGTTTTCTACAATCTGCCCTAGCTGGCTTTTTGTTTGTTTTCAGTAAAAACGCTCGCACAATCTTTATTTTGATTTTATCCATCTCCTTCTGCTGGTGTTTGTCCCTTTGTTAGAAAACTGAGCAGCCTTGGAAAACAGTAGAAACAAACAATACTGACTCCAATCTGACCGAAGCCGTTTGTTACACACTTCACATGATGTGTCGCAATAAAAGTCCTCATCAACATTTTTTTTTTTTTTGTAATCGACTTCAGTTAATCTGATGTTACTGGAAGGGATAATCTGATAAAATTCTATTTACCACAGCACTGTATTCATCCCCATGGCAGCGAGGGTACCCAGGAAACAAACAACAATAGGTCACACTGCTCTCCATGAGTCCCACTTGTTTTGTATGGTCTACTTCATCCTTTGAGCAGAGCACACGCTTTAAACATGTTAAAGCATCTTTCCATTTCKCCTGCACACTTTTCTAAATGCAGATTTTGACATTATACAGTGAGTCCAAAACTTTTAATTTCTATTCTTGGCATTTTATTGGCTAACAAGGAATTTAAAAGAACTATTTAATTTGTTTAYAGGGAGTAATAGTTCAGAATAATGAAAGCAAATTGGTAAAATTGGTTTAAAAATCAGCCCCAATAACGCAGTTTTTTGCGTGGCCACCTTCAGCAACAGTTCCAGCATCAGGTCCATCCAGGTGACCTTGGTCCATCTAAGCTGGCCTTTTTGGTTTACAGTTTCCTGGGTTTTGGACTTGATGCGGCCACCACCATGCTGCACTAGATTAGCCTCAGATACAGTATCTTTGATGTTTGGTCTTGTCTGAACACAGCACCTTCTCACACGTTTGAGGCAGAAATTCCAAACATTTCAGTTGTTTAGTGTTTTTTCTTTAATCAGTGTTTTTTTTCCTGCTCCTGTTTCATGAAGCTCAGCTCAGTGCTGCTTCTAACGGTCCCATGGACAGATCCTCACGTCTTCCAGCTTCATCAGGATTATCTTCGACTTCCTGGTTTCCTTCTCACATCCTGCTACATAATCAAAGAAACGATCCAATTAAAGTCCAGGTGGTAGGGTAACTGAATAAAACAATTATTAGGAGGGATGAACACTTTTAAAACACAAAGTGTGAACAGAAACACTGACATGGCAGAGAAAATAATTATTTGGAATAACTTTTTACTCTTTGCTGGTTTGAAAAAAAAGTGGTTGACGGAAATGAAGGAAAAACTAAAGGTTACATAACTGACACAGCAGTTTGTCTTTGTGTTCACCATGACAGGCCCCTTTGAAGGCCCTCTGGTTGCTGTGGATACCATCGTTTTTTTTTCTGGGGTCTGACTGTAAAGGGAGTGCTGCTCTTTCACTCTGAACTCTGCAGACCTGCACACAGCAGTGATTATTCTCTGTGTGTGTGTGCTTGTTTCTACTACACACTGAGGACCATTTGCACCATAGTTACTATCAAAGTGAGGTATTTGATGTAAAGTGAGGAGGACCTCTTCAATGTCCTCACTTTGTTTGCAGCTCTGCTGTGCTTTACTAGTTAGGTTTAAAGGTATGGTGTGAATTCAGGTTAGTGTTAACTTTAGACCAGTAATGGTTAATTTTAGGGAAAAGGTCTGGGTTAGGCTTAAGTACAGTTACAAAAATGAATAGAAGTCAACACAAAGTCCTTAGTTTGATGCAAATACAAGGATGTGTGTGTGAGTGTGTGTGTGTGCGTGCGTGCGTGCGTGCGTGCGCATCCATCCAGGTCCGCTCGCATGCGTTTAGGAGCGCGAGCCATCAGGTAGGNGCTCTGCATGAATGCCATTCCTCTCTCATGGAGCTCAGAGGCTGCACATTCTTTGTTCTGAAGTTCCCGGATGTCTGACCCAAAGCCAGGAACAGACACGAGGAAATGTCTAAATTTAACCAAAAAGGACATGGAGCTGTGGCCGCTCTCCACACAWCTCACAGAAACCCATCTTCAGTCAGTAATTATTTAATAACACCGTTTTTATTAAATGCTTTCGCTCACGTTCGTCTACAATGAAGCAAACTATTAACCACTAAACAACGTTTAGTAAAACTCTCAGAAAAGAACGTGTTTGCGTCTTCCACTCTCTGTTTGAAGTCAACCCCATTCAAGATGGCCRCCGCAGCTAATCCACCTTAGCCTTCACCAAACGTAGCTGTGCTCCAGCTTATTTTACAGACGTCGAGCCAAGTTTGGTGAGGCAGCTGAGCGCGACAGCTACATTCCTACAGGTGGGTAATAAATATCTGACAGAGAAAAAGTCTCAACTTCAGGTTCTTTTTCAGTGATCTAATTTATTTCAAGCACTRTTCCTGTTTGACTTTCTCATTATTCCTTTATGGGAATGTCAGCGGCTTCTGTCATCATGTAGCTGCACAGCCCCAACGYTGGATAGAGCCCTGATGGGTAAGATCTCTCGTGTGCACGTCGTGTCCATTGGATTGTACCAGAACAGAGCTGCGCCACGAGAAACACGTTGGCTCATCGAAAACCAGTCAGTCCTAAATGTGAGAGAGAGACGCCACACTAATATCATCCATTTATCCTGACATGATTCTACAGTTTTCTGTTCAACAAACCACAACAGCTTACCTTTTGGAGTCGCCACAACTTAAGAAGGTCACAACAGCTGACCAACAATGGCCTACACGAAATGACTGAGTCAGTTTTACAGATCTGTAGCTAAAACCTGACGTGGTTGTAGCGGAGTCATCCTCAACACCTTCGAACAGATCACATGAAATCTCACAAAAAAAAAAATAATAACGATTTCCCATCAAGTTATTTGACTAAAGTAGCTTTGACACAAACCATGAAAGGAAACAATGGGCAACGTGCATTCCTTCAAGAAATGCAAGGTTTTTAAATATTTTTTGTGGTTTATAACTTTAACCTCATATTATGTTGGAAGGTTTTACCTTCAGTCCTGAGCAAAGGTTCCCTAAACGAGCTGTTTGTCATCAGTAAGCATGTGTTTAAAGACACAATGAGCTTCTCTAAACATGAAAACTGAACAGTTTGTTCATCTGAGACACTGCTACCTTCTTCCATCATTGTGACATAAAATACGACAACAGCTTGTCAAACAGGTTTTAAAGAATTCAAARATTTAGGGACTTTATTTCAAACTTACCATCGACACTGACCCATCAACAGTGGAATGTCTTACAATGAGTTACCACAATAAATACAGCTGAGTAAAACAAGGGAAAGATTTATATATATATATATTTTTAAAAAAAAGGAACGTGATACAAAAAGATGTGTGACAGTAACATCGAGCTCTGGTTTGGCAGCTTGCACTAACTCAGCCATGATTTATATGTCTATCAGTTAAAAATGTTTATATGCCCATCATCTATAAACAAAAAGAAAAAAAAAGCTTTCTTTAGGAGATTAAACATGGTAAAATGTAAAGAAGGATAGTACGATGAACAGAGGGTGCAGGAATGAGAACAGAGAAGCAAGCTAAATAAATAATCCTACAGCCGAGGACTTCTTTCATACGGATCAGAAGTACTTTGATCCTGGAAAAACACCAGAAATTACTTCACTTCATTCTAGACAGCTGGTCAAAATCTTCACTGCTATAGATTTACAGTTGGAAACGTTGCTTTATCTCTGAATGGGTTTCCACACCACTACAAGCTTTGCTGCTCAAAGTGTCAAGTTCAGGAAAGAAAACGGGGATTTTCTTTTGACGCTTCCAGAGGAATATAGGAACTATAGTGAGGGTAGCAGAAGTTTTGTTCTGTTTGATCGAATAACACTGGTCTGGAGGCAGACGGCTCCACTAATAGTCGATGCTCGGATCGTTATAGTGGGAGCTGTAGTCGTCGGTGTAACCTCCGTGGTACTCGTCCTCCTGAAACTCGGCCTGATAGTCACTGTCACTGATCTCTGAGCCGTTGGTGCCGGTGCCCTGGCTGCCATTTTTGTGAACAACGGGCTCGGTGGGGGCGGCGCAGTACTTGGGGTCGTAGACCTGCCGGCCGAGCCCGTACACGCTCATGCCCCGCTGTGACGCCACTTTGTTGGTGCCCATCTGGAGGGAGATGGTGGAGTTGTCTAGCGGCTGCAGCGCTGCCTTCTGGTCAAAGATGTCTCTGCGGGTACCGGGGGCTGACATACCCGCCTGTCAGAAACCAAGAATGCAACGTGATGAAAGGTTGTTTACACGGAGTAGGATATATGTGCAGTATTTTGATTACATTAAARCCAGGTAAATAGTTGAGAACATAACCTAAATGGACAAAAGAGTTAAATTCATTCAGATTTTATGACGTAATTTCTTGAACTGTAAACCAGAAGTAAAAGAACTGAGACATAATTTTGTTATTTTTGAGTTCCGTATTTATGCATCTATAGCTACGTTTCCATTGCAAATGTGCGCAAAACTTTGTCGATATTCTGTTAATGTCGAAAAAAACTGTTTCGCAACTGCAGTGTTTCCATTAAGTAAGAAATGCTATTAAAGTCACACGTGAATATGTTTGTTCTTATGATAAGTCATTACAAACATGGCGGCAATGGATGTAAACACATGGCTTATTGCTACCAGGACACTAGCGCTCATCATCAGAGGARACGTCGGCGTCTTATCGAGGCTTTCGGCTGATAAGCTCCTCATACTTGTGAGTGGCTACGTATGCTGTGTTTTTGGGAAATTGTAGTCGGTGAGTTTAATACTTTCTTTTACTACTTCTGTGATTTTACTACTACTTCTACTTCCTGTTGTCTTCTTTGTTGTTGTCTTTTTTGCCAGTAGAAACAGACAGTTGTTGATCACGTGACTCCCGTGATGCAAAAAAGTGTTTCCATTGCAGTTTTGCGAAAAACATCAACTTCGATACGGCCGAAAAACCACCTCATCCTAGCGCAAAAACATTTTGTTTTTTCGAAATTGATGCGTTTCCACTGAGCAAATTTATTTTCAAAATTCTAATTTGCACATTTTCATGGTCAATGGAAACACAGCTTGTAATGTGAGAAATTTAACCCCAAAAAKCATCCATGAAGTTGGGGGTTTGCAGTGTACAAGGGAATAAGTTTGGACCGATATTTTCTAATGTACTACTAGAGTTGGGCAATACTGGTTTAAAAAAAAAAATCACGATTAACTGTGGCATGTAACTGATAACAATTATTATGATGATTAACAGATGGTAATTGCACTTGCATGTTTTTGACTCTAGGGTGGGTTAGTGTTAGCTTAGCATTAGCTCTATGTTATTAGCGTTACTTCCATGCTACAATGACTTATACAAGCCAGTAACCGCAGTCATGACCAAGTGTCAAATATTAATCAGATGATGAATCTGATAACTCAATATGATTTTGCCAAACCCTAGCTGGTACCTGGAAATATGTAGTGCTACCTCAGCATCAGCTCTGTGGCACTATGGCTTATATAAGTTACTAATCGCAAAGTGCCAAATATTAATCTGTAACCATTTTTTGATGTTTAATTTCACGTGATACAATTTTGCCCATCTCTACAGTGGGGAAAATACGTATTTAGTCAGTCACCAATTGTGCAAGTTCTCCCACTTAAAAAGATGAGAGAGGCCTGTAATTGACATCATAGGTAGACCTCAACTATGAGAGACAAAATGTGAAAAAAATTTTGAGAAAATCATTTTGTCTGACTTTTAAAGAATTTTTTTGTGAATAATGGTGGAAAATAAGTATTTGGTCACCTACAAACAAGCAAGATTTCTGGCTGTCACAGACCTGTAACTTCTTTTTTAAGAGGCTCCTCTTTCCCCCACTCATTACCTGT